TATGCATACTTTATTTCACACATAATTTACTTTAAAACTACTTTATTTTACACCTACTTTATTTCACACTTCTATATTCTACAATACAGAAATGATGTCACAATTATTTTATTACTTTACTAATCCCTCTATACAACCTCAGTATGTATTGGTACTTTGAGTACTTCTTGAGAGACCACGTTCAAAGTTATTCCTCCTTTCTGAACTAAAATAAAAAGATTTCTTGGTGATCTAGCTCTTGAACACCCAACATAGAACTGGCCATGTGAAAAGCAAGGGGGTTTTCAGATGTAGCCCTGACCTTGTGCTTTTGTTGCCATTTTAATAAAAGAACTCAAAATTTTCCACATACAAAAAATAAGAAAAATTTCAAGAAAAACAGGTCAAAATAAAAAATTTTAGGAATAAATATTGGTCCAAGACTGTGGAGTTATTAGCTAAACAAACACATTTTTGCTGTGAGCATGGCCCAGGTTGGGTGTAGTCGGGAAATAACCACTCTGTGACGTGCCCTTTTGTTTAATGTATCATCCTACCAAGTTTGGTTAAGATTGATCCAAAGACCACGGAGTACTTCGCGGACAAACTAACAGACAAACAATTTTTTTAACTTTTCTAAATATAGATATATATTTACCTTATGCCGAATGCCTAATCAGTATCCACAATAGCTGTGAATCATTCTGTCCAGTACAGTTTGCCAGGTTTCTATATACGAAAATAATATATAATTTTATGGGTCACATACATATGCAATGTCATCGTGCTTACCTAATTTGGATATGTTTAAATCTCTTCTATATCTTAGCATATTCTGGAGTTTTGTATTTATATATTAGAATTGATGTATTCTAATTTATTTCCTGCCGGTAATTCGTACTGACGGTACAAAATCTTCTAGCGATTAGAAAGTGGAAAGAGGTTTACAACTTGCAAATTACATTTTCTGTATCATCTTTTATTATGTAATTTACATATTATGTAAGTAGTTTTAGTAACTTCACCTATTTCAAGAACGTCCTTAATATTTAGGACAGTATAACACACCACCTTAGAAAATAAATGAATATATATATAATTCTCCAGTTGTGAAAATCTTTACACTCGAGTTCCTGTTTCATACTTCCAATTAGTATACTCAAACTATGTATATATATGTATGTGTTTTTGTTTGTGAACATAAATATGTAATTCATGTATAAGTACATGTATGTATTACTACTTAATAGCTGTACGTGACTCTACAGGATGTTTTATTATAAAACACACCATTAAATCCGTATGTACATATCGAGTTTACATTTTAACGTGTCTGCCACCGTTTTCGACAATTATATACTACTTGACAGTTACAGCCTAACAGCTACTTATCAGACGGAAATTACTTCCCAGTGGTAGTTGTTTCTCCTGCAAGGGTATTCATATATCTAGGTTGAATTTTTAATAACGTGTAAACTTGATATATCCACAGAAACTAAGTGGTTTATCTAATTATGATACACTGTATTATTTTGTGTGGTTACCGTCTTCTTTATTAATCACATAAAACTAGTATTATATGACTAGTTGCTTTTTATTAAGTTACAACACATCACTATCCTCTATTTCAGGAGGACTTTTATAATCAACATTAAGATATCCCTATTAATATTAATTGTCTGAATTATCAGAGAGATTTATCATAGTGAAGTACCAATGATTATGCTTCACAGACTTAAATAATACGTTCAGATTAATTAGTATTACCGGAAAGTATGCGATAAATAAACCTTTAATTGAACTAATACTACACAGAGAAAAATTCGTTTTCCTCTAGAAAATAAATTCAGTCAAATTGCTAGACTTTGAAATCAAATTTGACGTATGCATTTAAAAGTAGGTCCTTTATCTAATATAATTAACAACACATGGTCGCAAGGGAGAAGATATTAGTTACGAAAAAATTCCACAGAGAGCATTCTTATTCAATATTTTTTGTTTTATACTTTAGAATAATACGTATTTTTATCACTTAGCACATGTTCAGATTTGTTTCGCGAAACAAAACTGTATTAATGAAGCTGATTGTAAATAATATGTACCAACTTAAAAGCTGCCATATATACAGCCATACACTCTATGCCCTTTGAGCTTTCTATATTACATTTTTTTTTTGTTCTGACAATAAAACTCGTCCCTGTAACTGTCTCTTCGGGTAAAAGTTACCCAAAACAAATACCTGTAACTGTCTCTTCGGATAAAAGTTAACACATAACAAATACTTGTAACGTATTTGAAATGTATAAATGAAAGAAAATGGTTTTAGAAATTCTTAATTTACTGACAATAATAGAATATATTATGTAACATTGCTACAACGGAGCTCTTGTAATATTTTCTGCGTCTATAATCGGCCTAGAGATTTAAAACACATAAATACAAGTTTACTACTTACCGTACGCAACTAACTTCCTTCTTACTCCTTCCTAACTTTAGAATGAAATTAGTGATAAAATTGAATTTATTTTGGCACACCTTTTGCTCATGCGCAAATGAAGAATTCCGGGTATAACAACGCAGGCAGTCTTCCATTTGGAACATGGACAACACTGCTTTATTTTAAATGCCAAAACCTAAATATCTACCACACTAGTGGGAAAGTAATTGGTTTATTATATAGGTTTCAAGCGATTGAGTTTTCGAAGTTAATCGTTAATTTCATTCTAATACGAAAATATTTGTGGATTGTGTATCGTGACGTAAAGTAAAAAAAAAAAAATTATAAAACATTCACTTAATAACCAAATCGTAACTAATACAGTGAAACAAGTTATCATTAATTTTCAATAAAATTCTGTAGTTCAGAGTTTATTAAACTATAAAAACAAACGACTAAACTTGAATATTTTGTATTTCACATATTTTAAAATACATACAAATATTATACACAGTACTGATTCCCGGTCTATGGAAGTGATCAGTTCACTTAATTATCATTTGGATATGTCGTCATCGAACATCCTCGCTCTTTCAGCCGTGTGGTAGTTATAATGTGGCAGTCAATCCCACTTTTCGTCAGTAAAACAGTAACCCAACAAGCAGCCTTCCCCCTAGTCTATCACTTCTAAATTAGGAATGGCTAGCACAGATAGCCCTTGAGCACAAAGTTCAATAAACAAATGAATAAAATCATTTGGATATTTGTTGTTGCTGTTGATTTTCATTATTATAGGTCCGATTTCCCCCCCCCCCTTATTTTTAGCACTAATTCAGCGTCTTCAGAAATAATATTTGAGTGGATACTCTCAAGCGATAGTTTAAATATCTCATCATATTTCAATATCTCTTGTAAACGACGTGATCTTCTTACAACGACGTTACTGTTAAAACGTAAAGTTTTATTTTAAAATGATGAAAGTAGCATACGATTCGAAATATGTTTCATTCCAATAGATTGAACGGGGAGAAACTGAATTCTAGTAAGTGATAAATTGAAGCTAAGAAATGTGTTTTCTGATATCGTTTAAATTGTGAATATAGATTTATAGCATTTTTTATTACATTTATTACAGTAAATGAATATCAGTTTAATACGTGGATATAAATATTACCAAGAAGAAATTATATTATACTTACAAAAGTAACATGAAAATCGTGTTGTTGTTTTTTTCTACTTGTCGAAACACAGCTTCAAAGTTTCTTAAGCGAAAAACTGCACATTAACTTATCTACACTAGGCTTAGCGCAGAGATCGAGCCCCGATTTCTAGCGTCAGAAGTCATGAAGCTTATCGTTGAGCAAACGAGAGTTAAGCTTGAAATAATCTTTATTGTTTGTTATTCTTTATAATTCGACACGTTCTTATTTAATACCCACAATCATATTAAACCATTAGAAAGTTCTTCCTCACCATAACTTCTCCATATAATTTCCCAGTCCGGATTTTACCTTATACAGGAAACCTAACAACGAATCCCACTACTAGGGGCCAAAACACATTTATATTTTATTTTTACTAAAAGTAGCCTAAAAAGTTAATGGTTAATAAATATGCTATTACATGCTACTTATCTAAACGTATGTCTGAAATATCAAAATGATATATAATATGAGACAACCCCGTAGGGGCCCATTTCCTCACTAATCAATTGCATGAGACTAAAACAAAGACCTCAATTTTTCTCAGTTTCTAATCCTATACGTTAAGCCTCAATTCACTATAAGATGCCTACGACCACAATAATATTAGAAACAATTTGAGTGAGAGTTGGGCTCCATTGATTTACCAGCGAAACCAGAACATGAACAATGTGCTTAAGCTGTCTTGCTAATAACAAAACCTACTGATTTTTTTTCTGTAGTAATTTTGTGCTAAAACAAGTATTTTTCATGTTATATGATTTGTTGATTCTATTACGTGTAACTGATTTTTTTTTTTTTTTTTGGCTTCCAGAAACACCGTTACCAACCACATGACAAATAAAGGTGGAATATGCGAGAACTGTTGCTTAGTTATCTTAGAAATTCTGCTCACGAGTCCATAATTTGAGAAAAGTCAAACATGATTAATACCTTATCTTAGAAGTCTGGTCTACATTTATTCACTGCTTCCATCTCCAAGAGTCTCTGCAATTAGAACTCATATGTCTATAATTACATTTAAACTGTCTTTTCACAGTTGACAATTATCTTTACACTGTAGTGAGTCGCATACCATAATGTTTCATTGTTAACACTAAAAACAAATATGCAGATCATTGTGTTTGATAGTTCTGATCATTTTCAGCATTCCGTTAAGATTTCTTACCTGAAACTGGTGCTGCTAAAACATCGTAATAATCTAACATTGTTTTGTGTTTTTAGTTTTTCTTCCCGATTTCTTATTCGCCTGTTTTGTCTAAAGAAAAGTCTATTTTTTAATTATTGATAATTACACTTATACTTGGTTTTTCTGCCAGGATACGATAGCAAGTACCGGTGAAGAGACACTGACATTTGTCTTTTGGCCACAATTTATTTTGATATCGTATTGTTTAATGTCGACGTGTTTACATTTCTTTTGTTTTCCTCGGGTCTTTCCACCGGCAAATACTCTAATTTATCTTACATTAATTATAGATTTCGATAAGGGTGATATGTAACTTACCATATCACTTCTATTTTATGTCTTTATAAAGCTTAGATTAGTTAGTTTGTTTGTTATAGAGCAAGGTCACATTGGGCCATCTGCCGTGTCCATCGCGGAGAATCGAACTCCGGATTTTAGCGTTTTAAGTCCGTAAACTTATTGCTGACCCATCGGAGGACCCTTTATAAAGCATGGATCAAGTCGGCAGATCAATGAAGTCCATCTTTACGAAGAGTAAGGAACTCTTGTTGATTCAATTGTATTGTCATTTTACGCCCTACTATACTATACTGCAGTACAGAAATCCAAAAAGGTGAAGCCGGAATTGGCACCGACGAAGACAAATCGTTATTTCTTTATAACTTGATTTAATTTACCTCTTCGAACTTCATATACAGGTTTACATTTTTGTTATTTGAACTTTGAATTGTTAGAACATTAATCATTATTTTATTATAATGGAACCGATATATATATATATACACATCCTGCTTTTGTCTGAGTAACAATTATACCTTCTTTACGTGTCTTACAAAATCTTTGTTCAAAACCCCATAGCAGTTAACAATTCAGCTAGTACACAAACCAAATCATAAAGTAATAAATTGAGTTGTTATATAAATCCGTGTTCGAAAATATATTAATCCCTGTTTACACATTGAGAAAATGACATAATTATGTGAACAAAAAAGAAAGAGTAATCAGGTTTCCCGAATAAATCTTTCATAGAAACATTAAACTTCAAAACTTCTTAAAGGCAAATAATAAGAAAACGGCGAAAAACAGAGAAGCGAAATAGGTGAAGTGGAGCAATTTGTCTGTTTCTTGTTAAGTACAAAACTACACAATAGGCTATCTACACTGTGCCCACCACAGGTATCGATACCGGGTTTTTAGCGTCATAAGCCTTCAGACTTACCGCTGAATCACTAGGGGGGGGGGGGAGGCAAAGGGATAGTAATTTAACAAATAATTTCCTAATCATTTTAAAGACTTTTAAATCTGGTACTTATATTTATAACCCTGACTGAACAACATCTTTGAAATCCAATGTAAGTAACTAGCATAGCGGGATCTTGAAATACGACTAACATCGTTACATAGTTTAAGTTTGGGAACAACTTTTGAAGGCATTTTGTTTCAATAATTTTTAGGTGAAAAAATATACTGTTGGCCGCAGATGCTCCAAGTCAGTTGGTTTCCCTTCAGCAATTCAAAATTAGTGACAGTGGCAGATAGCCTTAGTTGACGTTGAATATAAAAGTTTGTTTACCTTAAGAGTTATTATTTAGTTTATTTAGTGATTTAATATTAAATGATTGTGTAGTTTTCAAAACAAGAATGTTAAAATCATTTATTTTAAAAGTGACAGTTATGGCAAGTTTCATTACATAACTCTGTACGAGTCGTATGGTGTGTGTGTGTGTGTGTGTGTGTGTGTGTGTGTGTGTGTGTGTGTGTGTGTGTGTGTGT